CGACTGTATAAATGATTGATTGGTTATCATTATTGCCAATAACTGGAAAATACAAGTTTACCACATTCATGCAGTTTTTTTTGTTTTGAGGAAAAAAATAAAAAAACATACCCATAAATTTCAGATATGTCAACGATTACATCAATCATGTCACTACAAATTTCATAAGATTGCATATCTACGGGTGAGCTATCAGTTGCTATATAAATTTTGGAATTGACATCAAACAGAAAAGCCTTTTCTATGCCAGAATTCTATACAAGTGAATAATAAAAATCCCATGTTAATTAATTTTAATTAGAAAATACAAGATAAATGTTAAATTTTTATATAGTTTTGAATGAATTATTTACCGCGCACAAAATATTCAACAAATTTTCTAATGTTGGCAATTGAGGTATAAGCTTTTGAATTACTTTACTAAATGCTTCAAAAATTGAATGGTCGTAAATACTAGTTAAGTAAAAGTTCAAGTGAACATGTTCCAAGTCATAATCTGCCAATTCATCTGTAATTCGTTGTTGAATATCACGTTGTGTATCAATTTTGTACTCATCAGATAATGCGTCTACTTTGTGTATAAATACTTCGAAAGAAAGGTCAGGGTTGACTTTATATGCACGCGTTACAGTATGATGAAGGCGATTTAAAGCCTCAATGTAATCGTCCTAATTTTCCATAAAAATTCACTTTTGTCACGAATTAGGTAACTGTGCTTAATTAATGATTTTTTAACGGGTCACTTGAAACTTACTTGTGCGTCGATAACAAAAATTAATGCTCCATATTCTCCAAATATCATATTTGAATCATATGCTGAGTCAAAATAATTAATTTGTCCTGGAAAGTCCCAAACTTGAAAATCAATGAATGACCTATTAAAATATTTAATTATCTATTAATAATTAAAAAAATATAAATACAGATATTTATAACATATAAATTAAGCATTTATCAAAATTTACGTGATATCTTCTTTGACTATCTTGTTAGTACTTTCAAGAAATAATGTTTCATTTGCTGGCATTTTATGAAACACAACTTTTTGGATGCTGGATTTCCCACTTCTGAAATAAAATGAAATAAAACTAGTTTATTATCCTATTTACACTTTTCAACAGATTAACGAAAATAAATGATCTATCTTACCCACCTCCTCTGGCCCATAATTAATAATCGTGGCCGATGATCTTGAATGGGATCTTCAGGTAGTTCCTCTCCATTCCTGTCGAGATGAAATTTATTAATTTGGTTAAAGAACATTAAACTATTTTTAAAATATTCAAACATACCCTATATCTTGAGGATTAGTATGAAGACTGTATTCTTCTTCAAAGTTCTGCGGATTAAATAAAAAAGGTCATACTCCGTGATTAACTTTGCCAGGTAATATGGACACTACCCCATACTTACTGACATCCCAAAAGACTAATTTATTTGAGTGAATGATTACAAGAACGTATATAAAGTTTATAATTCGACGATGGTATAAAGAGATTAAACAGAGAATTTTTATCATACTGATTATTTTGAGGGACAGATATCTGATTAATCAATTTATCAATTAATGATTATCACTTATCACATATAATCAAATTTATGTTAAAAAACGCCGGTGGAATTAGACCTTACATAATAGTTAAAGATTGGTCTAACGTTCCTGTACCGATAAAGTAATATTATATTCCGCTGGCACACAATTATGTCATTCGACTTTCAATAATTGCACAATAAGTCAGAGTCATTGTAAAATATGTCACGCAATTTATATATATAATTATAATATACAAAACTAGTATTAGTTCAATTCATCTTTTTTTTTTTCTTGATTTTTATTATGATACATCAAACTTTGTATATATGA